TTCACAGAACAACCTTCATTTCAGGATTTGCTATTAAAAGTGAAATCATAATTGGGAAATGTTTGTCTTTTGGTAATAGAGTGTTCCTGGAAGTAGTTTGCATCTGATGTCAATCTCAGAAGGAAGAGATTGTGTGTGTGTGTGTGTGTGTTTTGTTCAAACATACTGCTAAATTCATGTCAGAATGTTTAGTCTTTGCTGTCAGTTATGGCACTTCTTACTGAAGCTTAGGCCCTTTACCCCCAAAAAAGTTCTTCCCATGGGAAAGATGACTTATGTGAGATAATTAATGCCAGAAATATTTTAAATAGGAGCTTCCACTGCAGAGCAAATTACTGGTCCATACGCTTGCAAGCCATGCCTCTCACAGTGGCCTACAAACCTAATTCAGCAGCAAATGTCTACCACAAATCATGCCAGTTTAGCAATATCATATGAAGGAAATTAAATATAATTTATAACCCTTATTAAAAGATTTGCCGGAATAGTGAAAAGTGATATTCTGTGGAATATTCCTCCAACCCATTCCTGGTTTATGTGTTCTCCATAAAGTATTGTGACTACCCTTTCCTTATGCATTGCTTAGACTTCTTGTCTTTCCTCTTCCAGCATGGCCAGAAGCTTTTGCTTCTGCTTTTTATAAATGGTAGCTTCTTGTTTTGCCTGAACTGAACCAGTTGTGGTTTAACTTGACTATGATTTGACTGGGGGAAAAAACCAAGGTTTGTGAGTTATAGCAGCAAATGCCCTCCACCCAGGTCAAGCTGGATGTACGCAAAGTTGAACATGTTTGTTTGGGCACTTGATGGAGGAAATCCCACAAACATCACTCCCCCTCCCTGGCTACAAAAATATAACACTGATAAATTAAATCCCTACCCAGTTGCTTCCCTTTAATGACACTCCAGATCAGCTGTCTGAAGCCATTGCCTCACGCAGCCTAATGGCAGAGCAAGCCCTCACCAGATTTTTTAAAACAAGAAATGTCCTTATTCTAAATTAAAATTTTCATTCTTCAATGGGAAGTCATATTACAAATGAGAAAGTGTGTTTGTAAAATGGAGCTATGTAAGCTGCCTTGGGTTCCTCATTAGAGGAAAACCAGTGAGATATAAATGCAAGATGATGATGAAGATGATGACAACGGTATAAATGCTTGCGAAGAATCTGCTTCAGCTGCAACTGTGACCCCCAAGCTACACTTGGTGTCATGGAGTCCCTTTGTGATGTTCCTCTTCAGATGATGAATACAGTTGCAGGTCTCACCCCAGCAAACTTTTAGTTTGCCTTTTCACGCATGGCTGTTCTCTCATGCCACCTGTTCAAGCCCCCTTATCAAGAGACCCAGCACAGTGGCAACCTCTTTCCTTTATAATGGCTCTCAGGTGCAGGCGCTAGGGTGGCCACGTACTTCATTGTGCAAAGGACAGTTCTCTACTTGAACTCACCCTCTGCTGGAATGGCTGTCCGGCCCAAGCCCAGCCAAAAGATGCAGACCTGTAGGTAAGAAGGGATATCAGGAGTGTTGCAACTGCTCAGCAGGAGTTTGTACCTGGATAGCAGGCTGAGCTGCCAAAATCTTCCAAACTACTGTGAGAAGCTTCATCTATTTAAATTATAATAACTGTTTCTAAATGTGCATCTTATAAATCTGCACATAAAGATTTTATGTAAATTCGTGACCTCTTTCTTTGCTGATGCATTTCCTCTTTTTTTTAATGTGTAAGAGGTCATCCTAATATATACTCTTATTAACTGGATAGTTTTACTTTGTCATTCCTTCTAATAGGACTCCTTTTAGGGGACAAGAATGCCCTAGAACATTGTTTTGCCCTAGAACATTGTTTTGCAGATCCCAGTTGCTATGACTTTGATTTGCTAGGTTAAATTAAGCCTGTATAAAGATACTGTATAAAACTTTTCAAAATACTTAAGGTACTATATTACAGATGAATAAAATACTGTCTTAGAAAATAAACCTAGCTTGTCTGCTGTAGGAAATGTATGTAAGACAAATTACTCCCTCTACAGGCTCCATATGCATCTTAGAATCGGCAAGAACCAGTTCCCAAAACAGCACAACCCAAGCAAAAATCAGTCTGAAACCACTACTTCTCTTTTTCCCACTCTGAAATTGCTTTTCCTTTGGGTCTTGCTGCTCTAGGTGATAGCCAGCTGCTCCACTCACTTGCTCTGGAGGGCTGCAGAAATGACTTTTGAGACATCTTTCTGCTTGTAGGTGCTTACCTACCAGGGATCACTTACGTGCGCAATCATACATGCACCTGGCACAATATGTCTGCAGTGTAAGAAGGGAGAAGACAGCTGAGATGGCATCACTTTGCTTTAAGATCATAAGAGAGCAATCCAACAATCCCTCAGCAAGCATCTGGGGGACCATAAGCTTGTCTTCCAAGATTGGAGATAGTCCTCTTCTCCCAGTCCTCTTCTCTTCTCACAACTGGAATGGAATCAACTGTGCCAGCTGCCCTCTAAGGAGGAGGAGGAAAGTGGGTATCCTGGTTTTGTTGGTAGGGGAAGAAGCTGGAGGGGCCAGACCACAATTTATCCTGACACTCCTCTAGTTCAGCCATACAGTCATTATGACTTGTAGCCTTTGATAGTCTTATCCTCCATGAATTTGTCCAATCCCCTTTCAGAGTCAATGAAGCTGATGTCTGTCATTGCATCTTGCAGTAGCACATGCCAGAATTTAACAACGTTCAGTGGGTACTTCTGCTTAACCATACTTTTGTGACTTTCTATTTGATTAGGGGTAAACTGTGTTGAGGAAGTGAACTCTCATGAACTCCCAATATGTAGAACTCTGCCCCATCTTGAGATGACATGCATTCTTAATTTCTGAAAAGAGAGAGAAGGAGAGTTTATGTCAGACCTGAAAAGCTTCCGAAAGGCTGTTGTTATTTAGTGATGAGGAAGCCACTTTATATACACTCAAAGGTATGTATCTAAAATAATTTTAGGCTGACCTGAAGTGTAGAACACTTTGAAAAAGTACCGTTTTCTTTATTCTTTCTTCCTGTAGCATTGAAACAGCCTCCAAAACTCAGTTTGAGTTGTGACATAAACTAAGCCCCAGAAAGCTGTCATCTTCCAGTCATTATATCATGTGAATATGTGTATTGTTGGAGCAAAATTAGATCCTTTGTTCATTCTTCAGAAGACAAAAATGTCACTGAACTTCTTAGAAAAGACTTTCTAGAAGTTCATTTTGGGGGCTTTTCTGTACTTGTGTGATCCCAGAAGCAATATATGTTTATTCCTTTTAGACAAGAAGTTGATGAGAAAGGCTTGCTCTGATTATTTATTTGCAATATCTATATCCACCCATGAATATAAGAAGGTAAGCAAGCTAAGCTGGATCAAGCAACTGGTCTATCCAATCCAGCACTCCATTCACATGGTGGCCAACCAGCTGCCCACAAGATCCTTCAAACAAGATGGGTGCAAGAGCTGCACCTGCCCAAGCTCCTCAGCAGGTGTATGCAGGCATGCCGCCACTGCCAACCAAGGTAGCACATAGCCAGCAGGGCTAGTAGCCATGGATAGCTACATTGAATAGCCTCCACTGATGCCTCTTCATCACAGGTATTCCTGTGCCACCAGCATTCTGTAAGTCTCTGGACTTTGTAGGCGATTGTTGGGCCATTGGTATGTGGGTGCATCAAAACGTTATTTTACTTTACAAAGTTGGATGCTTCTGCATACCTAGGGAATGTCCCAAATGCATAGAAACAATTATTTTCTTTCTGTGTGGCCCCAATTTGTTTCCAGTTGGATAGGCATTCATGCACCTGAATTCACTCTCAGCAGGAACAGTGTTGATGATGATACTGGAACTTCCAACAGTGTAGGGTCCCAGCTAGAAAATCTGTGGAATGAGCACAGAAATCCTCACCAAGGAAGGCAGTGTTACAGCAGGCTTTGGGCTGGGAAAGGTGAAATTAGACTCCAATTTCTTGAACAAGATGTAAGCGCAGAGGTAGCAGCCTAGGTAAAACTATGGCAATGCAAGCGAGAAATCAGCAGTACTATTATGTTTTTTGAGTAAGAAGTATTGTTTCACTGGTGGAACAAAGAAAGATAGCTGCTTCAAGGGAGTTCCTGATGCATTTCAAGGTTCTTTTCCTTATCAAGGCCAGTTTATTTCTTCAGAAATGTCCAAATAATACTTAGGATTCCTGGTTTCTAACTCACTGGCACTAAGCATCTTTGTTTTGTATGCATGTTGGTGATGGCTATTTGTTTTTCCTCTCTTAAAAAAGCACAAACCATTTCTTTATCACCCTTTTGGCTCTAAAAAGAGGCTACAGGCTGGTTCACAACAATAAAATAATCAAACAAATAGCACATAAACCAAAAATAATAAACAATATCGCCTCAATTGTAAAACAGTGAAAAAGGGCATCCAAGCCCAAAATAAATGTGATCGACCAAAACACACTTTTGTGGCCCGATGAAAGACCTGTGGAGCTTCGCAGCCTATGGAGGGCACCAGAGCAGGGTCTCCAGGTGCCCAGAAAAGGTCTTCTCCAGTGTGGCCCCTGGCTGAGCAGCAAGGCAGCGCCCGACCCAGGAGGATGCCCCGCATTTTTCTGGGTGTCTTCTTGTTGGCTGAGCCCTGCTGGGAGCAGAGAGCCTTCTCCAGGGTGGAGAAATTCCGGCCAGCTGCCTAGCCCTATAAAAGGGCCCCCCTGCTTTTCCTCCTCCTCTCAGTCCCGGCCTCCCCAAAGGGCACTCCGCGTCCCCGAGGCTCGCTCTCCGCTTCCAGCCAGTCCTTTCTCCGCACAGCCCGGGCCGAGGAGGACGGGAGGGGATATGCAGATTAGCCGGCCGCTGATAGGCCATTCCCGGATCGAGGCCACCTCCGCTCGGCCCCTCGCCTCCGCCGCTTCATAAAGGGCCGCTTCGCCCGGGCGCCGGGGCAAAAGGGAGCGGAGTGCCTGCGGCTGGCGGGCTGCGCTGCGGAGAAGGGGAGGGTGGTGGGCGCCTGGCGGGGGGCCCTCGCAAGCCGCGGCGCATACGGCCATCGCTTTCCAACTTCAGCTACAGTGATAGCTAAGTTGGGAAAGACCAAAACAGAAGCAAGCCGTTGCGTCCGTCTGCTCCGCTCTGCTCTGCTCTGCTCTCTCGGCCACCGGCGCTGTCGCGGTTGTTGTTGCGGCGGTGGCGGCGGCGGCCGCCCTTGTATTTTGGGCGCACGTCTCTCACCCTCCCTCCTGCCTGCCCGAGCGCAGGGGCTTCATAGCAACAGGCGCTGCACGCAGAACCCCGGCGCGCCCAGATAACCATGGCTCGCCCAGCGGCGGAGCAGCCAAACGAGCGAGGATGCTGCGGTGAGTGGCAGGGCGGGGGCGAGGGAGGCGGGGGCTGCGCGGCCGGGGGCGTCTGCGGGAGACGCGGCGGGGGGCGCCGCTGCGGAGGCGACTTGCCTCGTCCACCGAAGGCCGGCCGAGACCTGCAGGAAGTGAAGGCAAGCCCAGCTTGCGTGTGCGCGTTACGTGTGTGCGGGGATCTCTGCGCGCGGGGTGGGGGGCTGAAGGGCTTGCTGGGCGGCGTGCAGGGGGGCGAGCCCCACGGCGGAGGGGGATCCAGACCGGAGTTTAGTCCACCTCGGGATAGGATGAGCGGGCAGAATAGCGAAGAGGAGAGTGCAGAAAGCGCCTTGCGTTCCAAGAATAAGCTAAAACTGAACGATAAATATTTATTATTAGTTAATAAATAGGCTGCATGGGATCCTGGCCAAGAAAGGAACAATGAGTGGCTTTTTTCTTGCATTACCATTGTTGAAATGAAGAAACAGGTGTACCGCAAAATTGCCTGTGTGGAGTTAGGTGCTGAGAGCTAGATGTTTAGGACTGATGTTAGAATTTAGGTGAACTTTTTGCTTAACATGGCATACAGGAAGCAACTCGGGTAGACCATACCCAGCTGTAAGTGTTCTGGGCAGCAGCACTTTCTTGCACCTGAAAATACCTCTGGCGCAAAAGGCAGGGATGCAGATAGAGCTAAGGCAGCGCATGGCAAGCTTTGTGCCAGACCGTAGCTGTCAACATGTAAATAGACTGCTTCAGCTTTTCCCAGTCAGTTTCTAGATGTGCCAGGCTACAGCTCCCAGTGCCCCAGCCGAGATGGTAATGGCTATGAAGGCTCAGTGGGTGTTTTATTCCCCTATATCTGGAGGGAAACATGTTTGGAAAAGGCTGTTTTCCATATTATTAGTTAATAGAAATTCAATGTTAAAAGAGGCAGTTATGTCTTAAATAAATACTCATTCTATTCAAGTTCATTACTTGAGTGATACTAAATAATAATAGCAGTGATAATGCTTGACTAGTGTACAGGTGTCAAAGTAAATAAGTCAGTAACTCGCAAAATAATTGTATTATCTATAGCAGTTCTCTATTATTTCCAACTTAGGATCCTGTTCCAGCTTTTTAAGATCTGCAACATTTCTCCTGTATCTTGGACATTCCTTATCCACTTGGGTAAGTAAAATATAACAGAAATAATCTGGTATGTAAAAAGCATAACACAATCATTTGGCTGACCAGTATCTGAATGATTGTGTTCAATTAAATTTTTATTGTATATTTTATTCAGAGAGGTTTAATGACAGAACCGTGAGGTTAAAGAGGATGTCACAAAAGATTCCATCATCATTATAAAATTATGTATGCTTAATTATACAGCGATCATAAATACTTTAATAAATCCTATGGATTTCAGTGGCACCATGATTAAGATCAGAGCCCAACAGTGTAATCTTAGAGCTGTCAACTCAGTGAAACCTACCCCCGTGACTAGAAGTGACTAGAAGACTGCAGCACGAGTCTTTTAACATGCAGTCATATGCACGGTTGGACAGAAAAGGTCCTACAACTACCAACACTGAGAGCTGTACAGTTTTTTCTGCCTATCCACCTTTATGGCTCTACAGCTGTTAAGTGGATTATTAATAATTAATAAATTTTCCCTTTTGATAATAATAAGGTGCAGTCCTTACGTCATTTAGCTCAGTTGGACTGGGAAATCTAGCGTGGCATGTTGGTTAAAGTGTTGGACTGGGGACCTGGGAGTTGTGAGTTCTAGTCACCGGTTGGCCATGAGGCTCACTGGATGACTTTGGCCAGTTACTCACTCTCAGCTTAACCGACTGCACAGGATTGTTGTGAGGACAAAATGGAGCTTGCATTCCTCACAGGAGGATAAAAGATGGGATAGAAATGCAATATAATAATGATGATGATAAACATGTGTAGAATTGGAGTGAAAGTACTTGAAGTCATGGTAAAATTGTTAAGACTGCTTAACAAAGAAAGTAATGAATCCAGAATAAAGCGTATTTTATAATCTCTCCTTTGTGAGGCTTGTACTGAAAAGTCTAGATTAGCTGACTTTCAATCTCCTTTGATGATCTGTAGATAAGAAGTTTGAGGTTCTGCATTATGAATTATGTAGAAACTACATAATTTCTGGAAACTAATGGTTCAAAGTTTGCTTAAAGTCAGTGGTTCGAGGAAGCTTTTTCCTTAGCAAGTGGGAGGTGGATAGGACACTTTTCATGTCCAAACAACAGTCCCCCATCTGCATGTGGGAACCTCTGTCCTAATTCAAATAAAAGCCTGGTGATTTTCCTCTGCTATGCTAAAAACTGACTACTCAGTTTAAGCTTAGTAGTTTGATTACTATATATTCTGGTCTCCTGTTGTTACTGATTGCCTTTATAATAAACCTATAGTTTAATAAAGTAATAGTTACCAAAATGAATATCTGTGTGAAATCTTGGGAAAGCATCTGTTTTAGATATTTAGATATTCATTTGCCACATCTTCACCTGCAATTTTATATGTTTATAAAACTCCACTTCAAGTATAAGCCCATTGAGAGTGCAGTCTTACCTATATCTGGACAGAAAAGACTTCCACTTCTAGCATTCCTCAGCTAGTCATGCTGTCTAGGAAATGCCAGAAAATGCAGGATTTTTCCTGTATAAACATAGGATTGCTCCTTTAATCACATTAAATTGCAATACATTTTGTCTTGCCTTTCTTCCAAGGAGTTTTGTTCATTTATTCTCACAATAGCTCTAAGGTAGCATTGGTTAAGAAATAATGATTGATCCAGATTTACACCATGATCTTTGTTCTTTGAATCCAGTTGTGTTGTTCTGCTAACAGAAGCAATTTCATCGGGAGAACTGGGAAGGTGTCTGTGATTCCCCTTCATCCTCTCTTAAAACCTGCTTTAGAGAGTTGTGAAACCCTTCAGAACAAATCTGGGTAGTGCAGACAGCTTTTTAGGGGGAAGAAGAGGAGGAGAGGAGAAAGTCCCATTGTACTAATGGATTTCTGCTAGCATGATGTGGCAGTGAAGCCTGTGGTTGCATATGGTTATATCTATTAATATAAAAATGTACCAGCAACATCTTGTGAGACTGTGTATAATCCCAGTGTGGGTCTAAGTAGGATACTTAACCTAATAAGATCGATACCTTATTAAAGCAGAAGATCCTGTTGAAGGAATCTTTTTCACAGAGTCATTCAAGCCAGTTGCATTTCTAGAGTGATTCTTCTACTGCCTTAATAAATGAGTGAAGGGACGGTGCACCCTGGTTATCTTAGGGAGCGCCTGCACCCCTACGTGCCTCCCTGGCCTTTGAGAACTGTGCAGGGGGCCCTCCTGCGCGAGCGATTGCTTAGGGAGGGGGAGGCATGGCCGCTAGGAGGAGGGCTTTCCTGCAGCTGCTCCCCATATTTGGAATACTGTCCCCAAGGAGATCCGCCTGGTGCCTTCCTTATTTTCTTTTAGACTTGGTTTTAATATATTGTATACAGTTGATACAGTTTTTATCGCGTCTGTTGTGTTTTTATCTTGTGTCGCAAGCTGCCCAGAGGTGCTGTGGCACAATTGGGCAGCATCCAAATGTTTTAAATAAATAAATAATCTGTAAGGGCATAAGAAAGAGCCCTGCTGGATCAGACTAAAGGCCTGTCTAGTGCAGTCTCTTGCTCCTGCTTTGACCAACTAGATGCCCACAAGGGAGTAGACCTTTTCCCTAGCAGCTCATAGTCAGAGGCAGGTTACTGCTGAACCTGGAAAAAACATATCGCACAATGTCCATTTGCAGAGAATCTCCAGATAAGGAGATGAACTGGCATAACCAAGCCACTAAGATTGCTGTTGCATGGAGGTAGAAATGTTAAAGGACTGGCGCTTCAGTGAGACGTCTTTTTTGCTGTTCTCCCTTTTGTAAAGCTTAGGTTCTAACTTTCAGTCCACTGGCGTCTCAAGAGAGCTCCCAGACTCACCAAACATACCTGGGGCATGAAGCAGCTAGAATGAAGTACCATAACGCCTATGGGCATCAGTGTGACTATAAACAGGTGCCTTTATATGTCATATCAAAATCAAAGGACCTTAACAGGATTTGGCTGCAGTTCTAGGCTGTCATAACATGGATGAAGCACATGTGCAGCAAAAGTCATTTTGAACGGGTTCAGTGTAGCTGTTCACCCAGTGGAGCTGACAGCTTACATTTCTGTTTAAATCTGGCTGCTTCTTTTACAGCCAGGGGATCCATTATGGCAAAGCCTTTTAAAACTGTTTTTAGCTGTGCACACAGTTCTGCTCTGCTGGTGGGCATCTTTGGCTCTTAATTTTGGCAAGATCTTCAGACTCCTTAAAATACATTCATTTTTTAAAAGGTCTTTATCCTATTGCCCTAAAAATACATTTCTGGACTCTGAACTGAAACTGGCCATAAACTTGGAGGAAAAACAAACAAAGCATGGAGCGTGTTGCACAAGAGAGGGGAAGGAAGTCGAAGCTGAACATACTTAAGCTGGTTGCTTTAGACTGATTAAGAAATGGAATTGTTTCGTTTTGAGGAACCGTGGGCAAAAACCATAGAAAGAGGTAGCAATTGAGCCTGCCTGTTTGCACATGCAGAATGAGATGCCCTCCTTGTAATGGGTCCTGGCACTCAAATGCTAACTGCCTCTGAACTTCCCCGGACTTCCTTGCCACTGCAGCTCCCTCCTCAGTGCAGAGCAAACCTCCAGCTGTGTTCATGGAGATGGATGGCTCTTAATTTGTTTGCAGCCCAGTTTATGGGCATCATTCAGAGAAGGGTGAGAAACATACTCTAACAGTTGGTGTTGCATCACCTCTAGTTCTGCTAATTGATACCCAAATGCTGGCACATCTAGAAATAGATTTTGCATGGCAGTTATCTATTGTGATCAGGTCCTATGCATGCATAGATGGAGGGGGGATAATTTTATTGAGCACCTGGAGGGAGAGGAGGCACTAACCCTGACATTCTTGAGAGAGGATAGCCTTGTGCATATTGCAGTGTATGGGAATTCTCTTCCCAAGTGGAAGCCTAGGAAGCAGCCTCATAGCAGCTCGGACTGTTTGTCCCTCTAACTTAACGCTGTATTTGACCAGGAATCGGCTGTGGCCGATCTCCTGCTATCAGATCCTCCTATGCTGGGGGTTGAATCTGGAATCTTCTGTATGCCAAGAAGGTACTTTGTCACTGATAAATAGTTTTTCCTACATAAGGCATTTAACCCACCCTTTACTGAGGCTGCTGCTTCTGCTTCCAGATTCCTTGAGGGATTAAGATTGGCTCCTTTAGACTTTAAGATCAACTCATTTTTTTCTGGGGCTTTTCCTTCTCTGCCTTTTTTATATTTCAGTACACAAGCACTGGGTGGCACTGTGTTCTAGCAGAATTGTGCAAATACACAAGGGTTTTATTTATTTCACAACTAGCACTAGATGTTTCTCAGTATAAAAAAATCTGTGGAAATGGTTGCAAAGATGATAGTGGCTGCTGCTGCTGCTGTGTAAAACAGTTGCCAACTATTGTGAGTGAGGAAGTGCAAGCACACAATAAATGCCTCATGGAGCTAAATTCATAGTCCTTCTGTTTATTTCGTCCACTTTTTGAGGGAGTGGGAAATTGTATTAAAAACGTTCCAGTTTCCCCTTCTCTCCCTGGCACAGGGGTGGGGAACCTGTGATGTTGACGAACTACTACTCTCATTGTTCCTTGCAATTGGCTGGTCTAGCTGAGGCTAATGGGATTTGGTGTTCAGCAGCATCTGGAAGGCCACAGGTTCCTCATCCCTGTTCTAATGGGTAAGTGACTTGGTGAGAAAAGTGCTAGTCCTGCTGAGCCATGGGCAGCTTGTTCCAGTTTGCGAGGTATTGGCGATCAGGTCCAGAGTCTTTCGTTGGACCACCTCTTGATTTTATGAAAAATGGGAGTAGCATTGGGATTTCAGGCAAATAACGACTGCAAGTCCCATTGATTTCACTGGGGCTTGCTTCTGAAGTAAAACACAGAATGTTGAAATGGCTGTGGAGTTTGTATTAAGGCAAAACACTATGAAAATTCCCTGATTTAAATTGCTTGGGCCACCTAGGATGACATTCTGTGTCTGGCTTGTGGCCTTCCTCTTTTATATGGGAAAACAGCAAAGAATTATTAATATGTTATGGATTAATAAAATTAACTTTTTAGAGGAAAAAGAAACATATCCTTAAAATAGTTCATTCGAAAAGTAGGTAATAGGACAACATTGTACACTGGCTTGAATTTAATGGGTACTTAAACATAGCAGGCTTAATTTTGGTTATTAATTAGAAAGCAAGGGATTCTTGTTATGCTCATTTGTATTTGAGGTGTGGGTAAGTATATCAGATACCATTAATGAATATTTAATTCAATATAAAAATTAGGGTTAGACTACTATTTTTCATAGGAAAACCAAACTATCCATGTTTGACAAACCTTTTCAGAGCCAAATAAATGTGTGTACTGAACAAATGCTACTTTTTCACTAAACTTTCATTAAGTTCATGCCAGATAGTCTTATTTCCTACTTCATTAATGCCATTCTGAGAGAAGCAAGGTACAGTTCTGTTTATTTACTTTGGTTAAGAGTAAAATAATTTTAATCACTTAAGCTTCCTCACAGGGTGGGTTTGATTTAAATAAAATCGATTGAAATCACTGTTCTCATAATTGTGCAATCCAGGGTTATGCAGTAGGAAATCCAGGACAGTCATGTGGAAGTAGTTCTTCACACAGTCCATAAACTGTGACATTCACTTTCAGAAGATGATGTGATGGGCAGCAACTTCAGGCAGGTTTTAACAAATTAACAGAGGGTGCAGGTACCATGAGCGATGAGGCCTACAATACTTCAGTAACGGGCAGTGTGCCCCCAAATGCCAGTTGCTGGTGAAACACATAGGAGGTGCTCTTGCATTTAAGCCCTGCTTATGGGCCTCTGCCAAACCCCTGGTAAACTAGAGGGATGGACTGTATGGGCCCTTGGTTGACAAACCCTACGGGGTTCAGTGGAATTTGCACTGTGTTAAGTATATGAAAGACAGTTGCAGTAGTATAGCACAGTCTTGTACAAATGTTACTCCAAAACTGTGTTCTTCTGTGTTCAGTAGACTCCTTGGTGAAAGTGCATAGCATTTTAGCCATTGGATGTTTTTTGTACTAGTAATATGGATTTGCTTAGCGTATCAGTGGACTATAGACTGGAGGTCAGCCTTCCCCAACTTGGTGGCCTTCAGAGGCACTTGGACTGCAACTCCCAGAATTCCCATCCAGCCGGGCCATTGACTGACTGGGAATTCTGGGTGTTGCAGTCCAAACATGTCTGGAAGGCACAAGATTGGGGAAAGTTGCTGTCGGTCATTTGTGATAGGTACTCACAGTCTAGTGTGCCACAGTGGCAGAACGAACCTCAAAGATTTGCTTTTCAGAAACTGTGTATGAATAGCTTAGGCGATCAGGGTTGGTGTACATGCCACTAGAAGTCCTGCTAGCCTTGCTTCTCCTTCTTCTCTTTCTCGCTGCTCACTTCCTGTTTTGCTCCAGAAGCACGCGGAGTAACAATATCAAGGGAAAGAGAGCAGCGGCCACCACTTCTCTTGCTCTTTTCTTCTGATAGTGGTGCAGATCAGTCTTAGAGGGAAGGGCAAGCAAATAGACAGCGGTGACTGTAAACAGAAGAGACCACTCAAGAATGGGCGGCCCATTGAGGGTGTCCTTTCCAAGAGTCTCTTCAAAATGTAGACACAAAGCAATGTACATACTCCGTGAGCATCTTAAATTGCTATAGTCGGCCTATGATATATAATTGATTAATGTTAAACTAAATATATTTTTCCTAGGGAGATCGTATGTGGCATTTTGCGGTGTCTGTCTTCCTGGTTGAACTCTATGGAAACAGTTTGCTCTTGACTGCTGTTTATGGATTGGTTGTGGCAGGGTCAGTTCTTCTACTGGGAGCCATTATTGGAGACTGGGTGGACAAGAACCCAAGGCTGAAAGGTTAGTAATGTCCTCGTGGTTTCACTGAAGGACATCTGCATCTATTAAGGAAAATAACCATGAACGAAATGGGAAGTGGTGAAACAGCGACAATGAAGATTTAATTGCAAACTTTCTGTTTTTTTCAAGAGACACTAGTTGTACTATTTAATACTCATTTGGTGCCAAATCTAAAAATGAAGTGCTTTTTCCAGGCACACAGTACCCTTCCTAGACCATGGTTACAAAAATGCAGCTCAATCTAGTTAGTTCTTAAATTGGTTTGTAAGATGAGAGCAGGCTACATAACAAGCCCATTTGTACTCTGTGGACCTCATGTCTGAGTAGACATGTGTATTATTGTGTATTTAGTTCCAAGCAGTCGGTGGAACCTATTACCAGTTAATGTGCATTAGAAACTGACTGCTAATTCAATCAATTTAGGTGCAATCCATTTTCTAATAAGTATGCTTCCCCTATGACCTTCATAAACAGATGTGAAAGTGAGTCCTATTAAAATAAGTGGAAGACCTTCCAGGAGAGATAATAGCCTCACTTTACATTTCCTTCCCTTTTGATTTTGCTGTGCTAGCTCTTGGTGCTAAAATGACAAACGTCTGTTTCTACAGGATATCACCAATGGGAATTTTGTCAGGAACTTGCTGGGAAGGATCCATAAATCCTTCCCTGCCCCCGACAATCCTTCTCAGCAAAGATCCCTCATGCCTTCGGTTTCTGCAAGCTGTCAAATAGAACCAAATAGGGGAGGGGTGTCGTGTCCAGAGGCTTGGCTGGGGCGCTCCCTTGGGCACTGCCCCTGCAGCGGCTTCTAACCCTAGTTGCAGTTCTGTGGCACAACTGTGCTGGTTTTTTAAAATCTGTTTTTGCACACATTTTTATGCATGCAAAAAAAATTAAGAAAAGTTCTGAGCAGCCCCTTCAAGGTCCTGCTGGGGAACCTTAAAGGGGGATCTCCCCCAAACACCCTTCCAAAGAAAACCTGTAAAAGGGAAAAGCCATGGCCCGCCTGAAATGGCTCATGGCCAGAAGTGGGGGATACATCCCTCCTGGGGTGTCCCCTGGGATACTGGACGGACTGAGCAGAGAGGTAAGCTTGATCGGCTCCTAGGGCTCACTGCGCGCTGTTCTCACAAGAGCCAATTCACTGTGGCTTATTGCTGGGGCAGGTTAGCATCATGTGCAACTGTGCCCATTGGGTCCACTTACAACCTTGGAGTCTTAGAAGATTGAGCAGTAGGAAATGTTGCAATGGAAATCATAATAGTGAGTGCACGTGGTGTTTTGCACGCCTGAAAGCAGACTGGAGCCAATATACTGTGTCATGAATATTGTTGTAGAAATGTTGTCTGGTCTTCAAGGCTACTTCCAGACAGAGGGCTCTCAGTGTTACTAGTCAAAAGGCCTTGCACAGCTATTCCACGCTTTTCTCCCTAGCAGATTTTTGGGGGAGAATGACGAGGCAGAAGAAGTGGTGGGGAAACACAGGAGGGGCACAAATGGAAGATTTTGTCGTCTGGATCCTGCTGTTAAGTCCTGGGAATGAGCAGAACAGTTGTGCGATAAAAGCCTTCTCTGGGGGCATCCTGAGTCTACGTCCATATGAATGTTTTTAGGATAGGGATGCAACATGAAATCAACATGCATTAAAAGCAGTGCAGAGCAGAGTGACTCAAACGACTCGCAAGCCTGCGGACGGGATATGTGGAGCAGGCTTTGCTTTGTAAATTCTGTTTCTCAAGTTAAAGTTGTGTGATAAGTTGGAGCATCTTTGGAATGTCTGCATATTTCCCTCTGTCAATGTTGACATGACCTAAAGTGTGATTTCCCTGTTCCCCTTTATCCTAAACAGTGGCTCAGACATCCCTTGTTGTGCAGAATGCATCTGTCATTTCGTGTGGCATCCTTCTGATGATTGTCTTCCTGTATAAAGCTGACCTTGTGGCCTTATATCAAGGGTGGCTTCTTGTAAGTGCACAAACCTTAAAACTTTTTAAAACATTTGCAAAGCCTTTTGTTCTAAAGTTGTCTGTTTGAAAACCCACTTATAAGCATTTGTTTTTTTAATACCACTATATTTATTTCAGTCAAGTTTAAACTTTACTGGGTCATAATAGCCCCTAGATTTGATCTAATAAACTATCGTCAGTGCTTATACAACACAGTTTTTTCGGGGGGGTTTTTTGCTATGCTGATAGGATTGGACCCATTTGCCTCTCAGCTGCATATTAGACCATCTTGAATAACAAAGAGCAATAAAGAACCTTAGAGTGCTGCCTTGTACACATGTACTTGGTAGTAATTTCCATGGAAAATAGGGAGGTTTTCTTCCAAACAAGCATGCATAGGACTGCAGTGCTAGTGAGCAGTCTTTGCTTTTACTCATAGCATCTTTTTATTCTGTGGTGTGCGTTAACTAAGGTTGTATTGGGATCCGTTCCTAATGCTTGATGAGTGGAGGAAGTGAAACATAAGGAAAGGGGCCTCAGTGATGCCTGTGCACAGGATAAAATGAGCTTCAGCCAGAGAGTTGCCTTGACTACCCTCTCCCTGTGTCAGTTCAAGATGAGGCCTGAATCACACACGCTTCCCTCCATTTCCTCTTTCGTGCTGGCCATGGCTTGCTGGACAATGGAAATGGGAAGACAGGATAAGCAGGTGCTGTCCAAGCCAGAACTGCAGGGCTGTTTTCATGGTCCTTCACATCCCCCTTTTCCAACCTGGCTCTTTCCAGAGCATCTGTACCACAGTCCCCATTGTCTCTAAGCATTGGTGATGCTGCCCAATCTAATGGGAATAGTTATCCACAATATCTGGCAGACACAAAGTTGGGAAGGCTCCTGTACACATTGATTTGTTGGATTATCTCAGCTGAGGAAATGTTGTTATTGCTGCTAAGCAAAACACGTGCTGTTTAATTTTCTTTTACTTTAATGATTTTGTGAGTTCTAGTTCTAGATCTACATGGAGGGCAGGAAAGTCATAGGACAGCTTTTGAGATAGCCAAGATGAACCCATGCATAGGCAACAGCAATTAGCTCAGCAAGAGGTGACTTTCCATGCCGGGAGCCTTTGCTCAATATACCCATTGCCATATTTGGTATAAAAGGATCCAGATTTCTGCCCATAAAAGGAGGTGAACAGCAGATGAATTTGGCTTGTGGGAAACCTGGTGGAACCTCAGCTAAATCTCAAGATTCTTTGGGGAAATATTTTTATGGTTTTTGGGGACTGATTGGAGAGGAGGGAGTAGGAAAGTCAGCTTCTGTCTGCTTCCTAGCATGGGTGGATATCTAAATACAACTCTTGGAAAAAAACAATTTTGCAGTTCAAGGGAGAATAATTGTTGTTTTTCTCCTTCCTTCATTCTTATATGTAAAAAACATTTTCATTTCCACAGACCTTGTGCTACATTCTAGTCATCACAATAGCGAACATAGCAAATTTAGCTAGTACCGCCACATCAATTACTATACAGAGAGACTGGGTTGTCGTCGTTGCTGGTGAAAATAGAAACAAATTGGCAGGTGATGTATAATGACTTTTGGTTATCTTAACCTGTTTGTCTCTGAGTATGTGGATTGAAACACTGAAATCAGCACATTTTTCTGGTATGCAAGAGTCATGAGTCAAACCTGGATTATAAAGGACTGTTTATATTCTTTTCTTACTTTTCCTCTGATTAGAGAAGGCAAGGGAACAGTGAATTATACCATGTGGTCATATAGTCATTATGGTCCTCAGTCCTTGTTATAGTTCAGTAATCACACTGTTAAACTTGAGCAAACAGAGGTTTTTAGCAAGACGTGCTTAGAGCCAGTAAGTCGTCACATTGTGCTAGAATATTATTTGCAGTGTTAAAGAGTCATGTTACTTCTGTTGAGTAAGACGAGTTCATGCCAACATAATTTGCAAAAAGATGAATAATCTGTATTGCCTCCCTTAAATTCCAGTCTTCAGTATCCTTACCCTGCTAAAGCCGTAGTGGAAACTGGTAGGAGAGCTGTGCTTCGGATTTCAGTCTTAGACATTTTTTGTACCTGAAACTAAAAGTCAGAATGGTTCCCAAACAGGCATTGGGTGTTTACATGTAATGCAATTCACATTTCTTAAAACAGACTAAGAAGGGGAAGCCCAGTATTGAGATGGATTGATTCCATAAGGGAAGTGACAGCCTGAGCTCACAAGGGCTGAGCAGGGCTGTCCGAGGAGGAGGAGGACACTGGCTCTTAAGATCGTCCCAAGTTGGAGAGGACGGCACATAACAAGGACAAAAACAAAATGCTCCTATATTTTTCATAATAGCTTAATTTTTTATTATGTTTGCACTCTCATTTCCAGATATCTTTTTTAGGAATGCATTTATCCAGGTGTAGAATACCCAGATTTTTAATTTTAAAAAATTCACAGAGCAGCTCCATTGCAGTTAAAACCCCTGCAGCTTTAAAATGACAGCAGTAACTGGAACTTTGAGAGGATATCGATCGATGGATGCAGAAAACTTTTAAGCACAACAAATCTAGAGGATTGATGTGCTCATTAGAATTAAGTCAGATTCCAAGTGATTTGTAAGAGAAAGCTTTTTGGAATCAGGAAGAGACCAAGATGTGTATGGATAGCTTTTTAAGGCAATTATTATAATACATCATAAAATATATTTAAGGAGTGAGAGTTATTGAGTCTTTCCAGGTGACACTCCCATTAATTTCAGGAGACGGTTGCACATAGTGCAACCACAGAACCGGTTTGAGGGAGTGCAGTGGTTTTTCATAAAGGAATTAATTGACTGATAAGCTGCTTAAGAATCTAGATCACGCTGTATGCATTTTAATTGCTTGGGTAGGCTGAATGCTGCCATCTAATCAGTGGGACTCAAGGTCCTTGCCTTTGGCACAGTGGCTTGCCTGTGTTAGGCTCCATCCAGGCTCTTCTCCTTCCATCCTTATGAAGCAAGGCTGTGTTCTGCATTTGTCATCAGATCAAGCAGGTGGCTACCCCGTCATGTCCGGGGCTTAGCTTGTGAACTTAAGCATACGCAGCAGATGCCTGGTCTGGCTACAGTCCCATGTGCCTTAGCTACATCCTGTATGGTCTACTTTAACCGATTCTATGTGGGTCTGCCTTTCCAAACTGTTCAGAAACTCGAGTGGGTGCAGGATGCTGTTGGCCATGGTTGGTTACAGAGAGCAAGTAATCCCCTTGTTACAGAAGCCTCACTGGCTAGCAGTCTGTTTTCCAGGCAGAGTTTTAAGATCAGTTACAACCAAGAAAGCCTTACGTAGCTTTGGAGCAGGATATGAGAAAGACTCCCTTCTCCTCTTCTGGCCTGCCCAGTTCTTAAGAATTTTGGAGGCGGACTTCTTTGATGTTGCCTTCAGAGGCATTTTTGATAGCACAGCTGATTCAGTTATTGTTCCTAGGCTCTGGGACTCCGTGCCATGGGAAGCTAGGTGCACTTTCTGCTGTCTTTCTCCTGGCAGGCTAAAACTGCTTTTTTCAAGAAAGGCTTTGTAAATGAATCTGTTGAGTTCAGTGCTTTTTAAAAATTCTGTACTTATGTTATTAGTGGATTTTAATGTATTGTTGCATTGTTTTTATTGTGACTGTAAGGCACATTGAGTGCCATTTTCTGGTATTCCATAACATGGGTGCTATCCTGAAAAAGCCCCTTTTAAGATTGGGGCTGCAGGTTAACTTAGGTGCAAGGACTAATTTTGTGCTTTCAAATGTTGCTTTATAGATATGAATGCCACAATACGAAGAATTGATCAGCTGACCAATATCTTGGCCCCGATGGCTGTTGGACAGATAATGACCTTTGGATCACCAGTGATTGGCTGTGGATTCATTTCTGGCTGGAACTTGATTTCCATGTGTGCAGAATACATGCTCCTCTGGAAAGTTTACCAGAAAACCCCTGCCTTGGCTCACAAGGCTGGTTCAAAGGCTGAGGAGTCAGAACTGAAACAGCTGAATGTACAGAAAGGTACCAAGATTTCTAAAAGTGTCTTTCACCACATAAAAATGACTTATCAAATCTTTTATTTTTTTACTCAAACATAAGCCTGTTAAGTCCAGTAGGACTTACTCCCAGACAAGGGTATATAGCATTGTGGTTGTTATTTTTCAGAGAATTCTTCCAAGATTTATTGTAGTATAATAATATTTTTCGAAGTCTGCAAGTTTTTCTCGGCTTAGCCATCACCCCAACCTGTGTTCTCTTAAGTAAAGCTTTATAAATTCTGGGTACATCGGAAACTATATATTGCATGCATAAATGAGGGCATATCACAGTGGTGTTACTGTGTCATTTTCCTGGGTTGTGTTATTTCCCCAGAATTCCACACTCAATGACTCTGAAAAATGGAAGGGGGCAGCCTCTGGTTCTTTTCCAGAATGTTCTCCGCATGACTGGGAGACTTCCTGAAACACGCTGGGTGGTAGTACCGGAGGCTGCTAGGGGAAGCAGAAATCATCCTCTTTCCATTTGCAGAAACCTCTGCTTGTGTGGAGTAGTCTTTACAACCAGAAAGAACCCTTCCACAAATGGAGATGGATTGCATTGGATCCAAGTCATGTATTAGAGTCCTGGTAATGAAACCAATGAGGGGCTTCAAATGTCTTTCTGTTTCAAGACAAAACATTGTTTTGCAATGAACACCCTACTGATACATATACTACTTATAAAAGTGCTCCATTTTATATCATTCCCACTTATTTTCACATAGAAATACTTTAGACTCAGGTGCACTTTGTTCTCTGGATCTCTAATTTAAGTCAGACTTTTAGGATTTGAGTAACTAATTTAGCTATGGAGTATGATAAAATGTATGACAAAATATGTTTGGCTGAGTTCTGAGTGTGTTGCTCACTGGACTTCTGTCTGGACATGTACTTTATTTCAATGATTTTAGAAGCCACTGCTGAAATAAAGGACTGGTCCCAATGAAATTTTAACCTAAAGAATATGGGATGTTTTGACTTGATAATATTTTGCTTCTCTCTCCATCCACAGATGGTGAACTGAAGCCTGCTGAAGGAGTTCAGTTAATTGGCGAGAAAGATGTAAAAATTTTGGAGCCCCAGCAGGAGGAAAAAGTTAGCTGTCTTTCTCGGATGGCTGAGCCTTTAAGTACCTTCCGTGGTGGATGGGTTGCGTACTACAACCAGTCCGTGTTCCTTGCAGGCATGGCTCTTGCCTTCCTGTACATGACCGTTCTGGGTTTTGATTGCATTACTACGGGCTATGCATACACTCAGGGTCTGAGTGGCTCCACACTCAGCTTCCTAATGGGGGCTTCTGCCGTAACTGGAATCATGGGCACTGTCGCTTTCACCAGGCTGCGTCAGAAGTGTGGGCTGGTCCAGACAGGCGTCATCTCCGGAGTAGCGCAGCTGGCTTCTCTGGTTTTGTGTGTGATCTCGGTGTTCATGCCTGGAAGCCCTTTGGATCTGACCGTTTCTCCATTTGCCGACATCAGTGCTAGATTGTTTGAAAGCAGCCCACTGCCTACTATGGCACCTGAAGGCAGTCTCGTTGAAATGCCCTTCACAACTGAAACGCCTCCCTTGGTCAATGGGACTTCTTCTGATCCAGGGCTGGCTCCTGACACCGTGCCTCTCATCTCTGTTAGCCTTCTGTTTGCTGGAGTCATTGCTGCAAGAGTGGGTAAGTTGATAGGTCCTGTCTCGAAAGTGCCCTGTTGCTTTAAATCAGGGTTGTCAAACCTCATCAGCCCAGTTTCACTGAACCTCATGGGGCCTAATACATGTGAGGACTGGGACCCCAAGAGAAGATGGAGTGTAGCAGTCCAAAGTCTGGCATATTTTAGCTGGAAGCTCTTTCTGCCTTTAAGGGATGTGGTTCATCCTTTTAGAATGCGGGGTGGAGAGCCTGAGGCTCAGCATCCTTGTGTCAAATAAAAACAAGTAATTCTCTGGTAGTTGTCGATGCTGTTGCTTAAATCAGTTATTTACAGAGAACTTTAACAACACAATCCTGTGCATATTTCCCAAGAAGAAATTCAAGGTGTGCTCAGGATTGCAGTTCAAATATGGTTCTTGTTCTTATCCACTTTTTCAAGATTAATGGAATGTACAAAAAACACCAGGCCTCTCCTAGAGGTAAAACCACTTATGCATAAATTGTAGTTAAAATAGTCTCTTATGGTTGAAAGGACTTGTTGTATCAGCAAGATCCTTTTGATAGGCTTAGCTTTTTCACTGACCAAACAATGGTGATTTTTCCTGATTTTCCCCTCTCCCTCCGCAAATTTGGAGGGTTGGGGGTCCTTTGGAACAGTGGTGGAGATGGTTCCAGAGGTTGCATAGTTACCCAACTTGGCAAAATTATTTCCCCAGTCCCTTTTCATCAGCAGGAGCTTTCTGAGATGACCTCTCCTTGGAGTTGCTCCTGCTTAGGGAATAAAACCTCTGGTTCCGTCATAGTCCTTGCAAAATTTATGAGTCCTTGCAAAAAATGACTTCCAAACAAGAATGTCAACCTAACTTTGACCATTGGCCCACCCTGCTCTCCCTTGGGTCCTCTTCCCAGTAGTATTATGAACCCATTTTTGCTTCCCCTCCCTTTTTTGGAGAACAGTTAATATCTGAGTTGACAGCCAGTGAAAGTCCCCCCCAAAAGTGCTCAAGCAGCATGTTGGAGCAGCTGCCACTGTTTTTCATCGTATTAGTACATTTCATAAATGGGTTGTCATATCATGTAAAACAAGTAATTGAAGCAAAATTGTGCATTAGTACCAGAACCCTTGTTAGAAGGTAAGGGGCATCCTGCGAACCTTTTAGATGCTGATAGTTCACATGTCTTCATGATTAGCCTGAGCTGGGAGGCTATAGACTGCAATCCTAAACCTATTTTCTAGGGAGTAAGATCCATTTGACTTAATGGGTCCTCCAAACCAACATGAATAGGATTGCAATGTCAAATAATAGGCAATCAACATATTTTCGAAGAGGTGAATGAGTTGGGAATCTTTACTTGTATGTGAATGAAAAACTTTCAGTTAAGGGCCAAAATGCAAAGATTGTCTCAAATTGATATTTGCAAACTGGGATAGTGGGTATTTTTGTCAACACCTGGAAAAAAGTAGTATTAATTTTAGAGACACATGTTCTTTTAATATTGCAGCTGTTTAAAACGTGTTAGATCTCCGATATCTTTCCCCAGCAGGAATTAAACTGCTCCTCCATTTATTTGTCTTTACAGGCCTGTGGTCCTTTGACCTGACAGTCACACAGTTAATCCAAGAAAATGTGATAGAATCAGAAAGAGGCATCATAAATGGTGTCCAGAACTCCATGAACTACCTTCTCGATCTGCTCCATTTTATCATGGTCATCCTGGCTCCTAACCCTGAAGCTTTTGGACTGCTGGTGATAATTTCTGTTTCCTTTGTTGCAATGGGTCACATCATGTACTTCCGGTATGCCTATAAAACCCTGGGAAGGAACATCTTTCTTTGCTGTACTCCTCAGCAAAAGTCAGTTGCTGACAGCCCAACAACTTGTAATACATCAGATGTCTAGCAAGTCTCAGTTATTGTTGCCGAGTCTGTTTTTCCAGTGCATGTACAATACCTTGCTTTGTTATGGGTCAGGAGCAGCTGATGCCTCTTGAGAAGTAGGGCTCAAAGTTCTGCCATCTCCTGTAAGTTTCCAACCTGTCTTGCCTCCCAGCTCCCTCTGTCCTTGGGCAGGTGACCAGGTGTGGGTTTCTGCAGAGGTGACATAGCTTATTTATTTAAGTGGGGATCTCTTGAGGAGTTAACAGTTAACTACAAATGACAGTTGATCTCTGATTCTTTTTTAAACAAAGAATTTCATGCTGAATGAATTAAAGTACTGCATATTGCGTAGTATAACTTTGGCTTTTTTTCTATGTAACATAATTGTACTATGTTCTGTCTTCAAAAGAAAAAGATTGCTTGGAAACATGACCACAATGTTACACAAAATGAACAGAAGCAGTTATGTGCTTTCTTGATCAATTTCTTGTGCCTGGGTTGGGGAAAAAAACCAACCTTTCTTTCCATGATGGTAGTCTTGGTTTAATTCCCGAGAAACATCTTGGTTGCTTTAGTATACTCTTTGAATAAGAAATAATGCAAAATATTGTAGAATATATATGTAGCACTTCACAGAAACTGATATTAGCCTGGTATAAACAGAAACTATAAACATAGCATTGTAAAGCATAGGACTTTAAAATATTAAGAAGGCTATACTTACTAGCTTTGAATTCATAGTGTTAAGGGCCAGGTATGTGCGTTGTGGGAACCGTGTTCTGTGCGTGTGTGTCTCTAGCCATCTCACTGTTGATTCATCCATTTGTTTTTCAGAGAAAAAGATATAATAGCCTTCTTTTAAATGGACTTAAATATGCACGGCTATTTAAGCTGAAAATCTTAACCACTTTAAAGGCCCCACTGATGTCAGGAAGAGCCTTAAATACATACAGTTTCTCTGCACAGACCTTCCCTCTTTGAGATGAATAGGAAATGCTGAAGAACAAAGTATTCAAAATGGGCTTATACTGGAGAGTCTCTCTCTCTCTCTCTCTCTCTCTCTCTCTCTCTCTCTCTCTCTCTCTCTCTCTGTGTGTGTGTGTGTGTGTGTGTGTGTGTGTGTGTGTGTGTGTGTAAATTTGTGTGTCTGTGCTTTTTTAAAAGTGATGACAATACTTTTGAAAAATCAGACATATTGAACGTAGCAAATGATTTGTAACTTGCAATGGGCAACCTCAGTTGCATGTTGAGGCAGGAGTCTGGTGAAAATTAACAGTGTATGGCATCTGTTAAGTGGCTCACACTGAACCACTGTGATGTAGTACCACAGGAACATCCCCATGTGCAGCATGTGGCTTTGCTTCTGCAGCACCCTTCAAGCATGCATGGACAGCACTCGGAAAGATGATTTGCCGCCAGAAGTCTGTGTTCGTTCACCGATTTTCTGAGTTGGGGCACATCTCTACAGCTTTAAATGTCTTATACAATCGATATCCTTATGCACTCTGTTTTATTACAAGCATCCTTTAAAACTTAACTAACTACAAAATTGTATTTTTAAACAATGATTTTTTTAAAAAAAGTGTGTTACTGTGGGATCCCGTAAAAGCAATATTTTATGATCAGTAGTGACTGACAATGCCGTACGTGTTAAAATGCTTTTTTAGTCCTTTTTACTGTGTACAGGAATGTGTGCAATGCTTATGACATCAACAAGTTGGTGCACTTTTGTGGAAATTGCGGTAACCTTGCTACAAGCACTTTGCTTTCTGATAGAGTTGAATACTCTTTACTGTATACACTCTGGAATTTTTCTAAGATACGACATTATGATTTTGAATCTCTGTTGATAAATGTTTGTAAAATATTTGTTTGCATAAATATAAACTATTTTTCACAGTGTTGACTTTTCTTAATTTGGGGGGCAGGGAGTGATCAGCTTCTCACTCATAAGCATGTAGCCAACACTTACTCTGATGTATGCAAAAATCCCAACCCAGATTTATGAAGCAACATACCAGAGCCCTTTCCTGAGAACCACAAACCATTTCCAGCATAGTTAATTATGGACGGATCACAGAATAGTTTGTTTTCCAATAAAAAAGACTAGTAGGTGAGAGCCAGTCAGCCTGAGACTTTGGAGACCAGCTGCAAGTTAATAGACTGATGAATGGCCGTCTTCTATGTTTACATGGTCAGTCTTCTGGATTTCCTCCTTTGGGTGAAAAAGAGTGCTGATTGGGGGCAGGAACCTTGTCTCTATCACCCCGGCACGTGCTTCCTACCAAATGTATGATCACTTCTCTAGTTTTCATTAGCAGTTGCAGATGGGGATGGGGGATCCCTTCTCTAGGACCCAATTTGTATGTATTTGCTAAATGGGGTTCGGGAATGAAGCTACAGATCTTTGTGTGTAGTTCGATGCTCTGTGAAGATATCCCTGCATGGGGCCCTTTGTGTTGTGTACTTCCTGAAAATCTGCTGCAAAGGGTTTTCCAGCCTCTGGAAGGTGGGGTGGGGGGGCATTGATCCCTCCTCCTCCCAGTTCCACCGCTTACATCAGTGGCATGACACCACTGGGCTCAAAGCCAAGAACTAGCTTGTTTACCACATGTTTCCTTTCATCACTGCCATGTGTGAAGGAAAAAAGGTGTCTGAAAATACTGGTTTGGGAAGCCATGCATGGCCAAGGTTTCTTTGATTTTCAGGCGTTCTCCACCCCCTCCCCCAGCCCCATTTCTACCTGTGCTAGTGTTTTTCCTGGCCTCCTCCAATCAGACAACAAGCAGTGTTCTTATACAAAGGTGGCATTGGGGGCAGCAGTATTTTCCCCATACATACAACAATGCCCCAGGACCAAGACTGCCACAACAATGTAGGTTTAATCCCGTTGGTCCATTGTAATGGGATGCATCCTGACAGTTTGCTTATTGCAGTTCTCCTCCTGCTTCAAGCTGCTGCAAATATTTTCTACTTAAAAAGAATGGAAAAGAAAGCTCTCTTTTTCCACATCTCATCATAGCAGGCACTTGACCTAAAACGGAACAAATTTTTCCCCCTTGGAAATGTTGCTGCTATTTGACAGCTTTGCCCACGTCCCACGCCACAGACATCCACATCCAAAGATGCTTCTTTTGCATGTGCCATCCATCAAAAGTTTTACAGGATTAGCTTTTCCCCTCTTCTCCCCTCGCTTTTAAGAAAATAGTTCATTTTACATTTACAACTCTCTCTCCTGGATGTTAAGCAGATTTTTTCCTAGCACGTGCATGGGACCGGGGAATGTGAACAAGGATGTTTACCAAAAGCCCAGCAAAATGCGAGGACAAAGTGCATGCTGTAGGGTAACTTTATCCAAATACTTCAGCCTGTCTTACCATCAGTCAATATTTCTTCCTAGTTAAATTTTTCCTTTATTGCATTTTGCAAGAAGAAAAGTACACGGCAAAGTACATAGAGCAATCCAACTCCAAATACATCGAATAAAGTGCATATTCATATCTCAGAGATATATTGACCTGGAACTTCAACGGAAAGGAGTTAAAAGTTTTCCGCTGTGATTGTAGTGAAGTTTAACGAAAGCATGCAGATCATGCACCTCATAAAATTCAGTGGATGGGATCCAACGTTTTCACTTCCACTGACAAAAGGAGTCTAAACAGTACCCACACTGGTTCACTATTTGAGAGGTCCACCAACTTTCTGGGGTCAGTAAGCATGCCTGGAATATTGAGAGAGGGTAGTGGGCAATTTTACAATATGGCTGCCAAGTGGAGAGGCTTCCCGTTCCCAAATGGGTTTCCATGGTCATCAACCACCCATTTCCCTGAAGGCAAACAGGTGAGACTAAAAGAAGTTTGCCCCCAAATCGACTTACAAAGCAGAAACGTCCAAACTCCAAACAGAAAACTACTCTTTTGAATCCATGATCATCCCAACTGCCCTCTGAAGTTGGAAAACTGACATTGGAGTGGAGGAGAAGGAGGGATTCTGGGAATGGGGAGGGGAGTGAACAAGCCAAACTATTGATCCTGAGTCCCCTCCAACATCTTTCCCTCCTACTCTAGTGCCTTCTCCAGAAAGGTTAAAAAAGCCCATCTAGTGGAATCTACAGGGCAGGAGGACTTGGAAGTGAAAATTGATTCTGCTGCTTCTTGCACCTTGCACTGGCAATCAGAAGACTCTTAGTTTATTTATTAGTTTAATTAATTTCTATACTGCCCAACAGCCAAAGGGGCTTCTGATCATGAAGGGTGCAATTAATACAATTGCATCTTGAGGGATCACTGAAAGCAGCCTCTTTATGAACTGTTACTGCCCAGCAAACAAGCCCCATAATATATCAACATGGTTCTTACCCAAAAAGAAGCGTATGCAGACAAATGATCAACAAATGCATAAATTGAAGACAACAGGCTTGGATCTTGCAATCTAAATGAGAATTAGTTATACCTAAACTCTACATTCAAATATGAGATGGGTGGACTCCATAAAGGAAGCCATAGGCTTGAATTTTCAAGAGTTTAGCACAGCTGTCATGGGTAGGACATTCTGGAAGGCTTTCACTTATAGGATTACTTTATAGGAAACAATAGCACGTAACAACAAAGCTCTACATGAAGGTGGACCAGGAATAAGCAACATGGCCTGTCAGATGTTTTGGTCTACAACTCTATTAGTCCTAGCCCATAGTGAGGGATGATGCGTGTTGGTAGTCAAAACTTCAGGAGCATCCCATCCCTGAAATAACCATATGCATGCATCTTCTAAGAAGCAGGATACCTCTATCCATGAGAGACACATGAGAGATACTCAGATCTTGGCAGCTAGTTCACTGCACACTTGATCAGAGTAGGTTGTCCATTCAGGAATGCCTGAAACCTTGGAGAACAGCAGGCTCAGATTTGCATAACGTTGGCCCGTGTTAATTTATATGTATAGAAACAAATGTAGAAGTTATTATAATTTGAAAAGCAGTACAGTATCAAACTGTGGAAGGCTGTGAGTTACGTGTTTTGCCAAGTCTGCTGCCTAGGAACTGTAGATGGGCAACTTCAAGCCCCCTTTGAGCTCTCTTTTCTGATCTGGGAGGGTGGTGACTCCTGTCTCACTGAGGCTTCTCATCCATGGCAGCTTTCATTTTGAGCTTTAGATGAGCTATTGAACTTTAGATGAGCTATGGCGCTCCCTGATGGCGAACCCATTTTGTGGATGAGGTTTGGCTACTGTGGATAGCTCCTTTGAAGCTCAAAATAAAAGCTGTCATGGATGAGGCACCCCGCTGACACAGGGACCACCTGCCTGCTCTGGTCCTGATTGTTCTTTCTCTTCAAGCTGGACTTTGCCTGGACAGCCCTCCACATAGAGGGTGCCTTCAAAATGGAGGACAGTCCTCAGGTAGTGCTTCAAATAGAGGACTGTTGCACACCTAGGCTGTATGAAGGGAGTGCTGTGCACAATGTGCCATTTGCTGCTGGCTGCATCCTCAGAGCTTTGCATGTTGAGTGGGAAGACCTGAGGGGTGATTTGGTTGAATACCCTCAAGGCGCAATTCAAGCCATGTTTGGACAGAAGAAAGGCCCGTGACTCCTGGTTGTTGCAGGCCTTTTTTCCTGCATGAACTTCGTGTGTGTGTGTGTGTGTGTGTGTGTGTGCGCTCGCTCGCACTCAGAATGCCTAAGCAAGTGGATCTAGGACTGCAGAACCTAACTAGGTTACTCTCTGTCAGGACTAGGCGCAAGCAAAATTTGATTGAAACAAATTTTACAGGAACCAAGAAATAATGGCTGTACTTCCTTTGACCACATGAAAAGGTATAATATATGAAAGCAGTGATTTATATCAGACCTCACAAGTTCAGTGTAATATCATGCTTGAGGTACATCCAAAGGACTGCTGACATGCTTATTTTCAAAGAGAGATGCTATTGCTGATCTGGCTTTCTGGCTTTTATATTTTGCTTAGAAATATATCCTCCCACCCATTTTTCAGGGTTTTTTTTTCCATTTAGTAATTTAGTACATTTAGTGCTGACATTTCAGCCCACATGGTCCTTCTCCTCTCCATTTTATGCTCACAATAAATAAGGTTAGGCTGAGCATCGGTGACTACCTCAAAGTTGCCGAAGTTCATGACCAAGAAGGGACTTGGGCCTGAGTTTACCTAGGCCCAGCCCAAAACCCTAACCATAACACCACACTAACTCTTTGCTTAACCCAGTCAGAAGCGGAATTTTGGTGAACTTTAAAACATGGTTTTAAAGAAGTTAAGAATTTAAAACATAAAAACAAAACCAAACCAAAAACACCTTTCCCTTATTACTGGTGTTTCATTTCTTGGAACTAAATAGCAAGTTCACTGACTGTAGGTTTGCAGGCACAAGTGCTGGAAAACTATGTTGGTCTTTCCAGCTGAGAGGCAAGAGTACAGCTGCAAGCAAACAGCGAATGCTTGCAATGTTTGCTCAGCTGTGTTAGCTCAAGAGAAGCCAGGCGGTGCGTATTCATAGGGTAAAATTGGACTCACATCACCTGTAGTAGTTTGAAGCCATGGCAAGGGACAACAGTCACTATTTAGGCCCCATTTGGATGAAAGATCAACTGGCAGGAGCGATGTGTGCTGGCAAAATCGGCAGGATGTCACTGTTTTGAGCTAGGGGTACTTGAGCAATGGGGTTCATTTCAGGCAACGGAGGGGTGACTGGGAAGCTTTTGCTTCTCAAAGGGAAGGTCAGTAAGGGCAAAAGGGAAGTTTGGTCACCACAGCCAGTGCGGCTCCAGGCTTGTGGTTTCTGGGGCAAGACACCCTGAATAGGCTACTTTTAGTCTACACTTAGACTACTTTTTCACTACCTTCACCACCACTTGTAAAGAAAGCCTGTGTCAGAGTGCCAGCTGCAC